CTAGGACAGGACTGCTGCTTTTTACTGTCTGCTGGGCAGGTGATGATCATCACTCATCTTTACTCTAAAAAGTCTTCTGAAAGTGTCACATCTGATGGTGATGATCATCAAAGTCTTAGTTTTCTCTTGTTGTTTGCCAACTATGTTCAATTGACTTTTTTAAATGTCTTTACAGGTGTTAAAGCTCAGACTCTGACAGAATCTGAAGCAGTGGTTAAAAGGCCTGGAGAATCCCACAGACTGACCTGTTCAGCCTCTGGATTCACATTCAGCAGCTACTATATGAGCTGGGTCAGACAGGCTCCTGGAAAAGGACTAGAGTGGATCGCCTGGGTTGAGAATGATAATGACGAAAAATACTACTCTCAGTCAGTTACAGGCCGGTTCACCATCTCCAGAGACGACAGCAGACAGCAGGTGTATCTGCAGATGAACAGTCTGAAGACTGCAGACACTGCAGTGTATTACTGTGCCAGAGACCCACAGTGACACAACCCATCAGTAGAGCTGAACAAAAACCCCTCAGAGACTGAACACCAGTAACATGAAGCCACCAGAGGAGGAGCCCTCACACCAATAATGATTAACACCAAGCACTGAACCAGGAGAACAGAGCCTTTTCCATTGCTGCCCCTCTCCCTCTGGATCTCTCTCCCCAAACACACCTGAGACTTTACGGACCTGCCACAATTCAAGTCACTGATAGAAACATTATAAACACTGCTTTAGATTGCTAATGTTATCTTTTTGTACCATTGTTTAAAAGTGTTTTTCTTTAAATGTGACTCTGTAAATAAAATCAATCAAATGTATTATAATTATTTTTATACATATTAAACACCAGTTCACTTTTACAGTAAGGAGAAAAACAGCTGTAAGACATTATGAAAATACCTTTGTATTAAACAGAATAACTCACAATTATCAGGATCACATTCACATTAGTAACTGAACCAGAGGTCTTTAGCTTCCTCTATGGTGATCTTATTCAATCAGACTTTTAGAAAATGAGATTTTAATACCACTGTTGTTCTCTGATACCCTGAGCCCATGTGACAAAATCCTCCATGAATGTTGAGAACAGAAGACACCATCAAAGAACATGATGGGGATTAACTTCCTGTTAGATGTGAATATTTTTGGTACATGTGATCACAGATGTTACTTTATGTTCAATAACTGTCAAAAAGTGGAGCTGTGTGTTATTCTGCTTTGTGTTCTTACTGATTGGCTGCCTGAGTTGATATACCAAAAAAAATAAACTAACGATGAACAACTTAAAAGGACACTTGTGTTTAGAATTTAATTCCAAAAGTAAAGAAGTGATATCGAAATAAAATGATTTTCTTATCTCTCTGAGGAGGAGTCAATGCAAATCTCTGATGTGTTCCTCCTCTACTTATGTGAGAGCAGAGAGGACGACAGAGAACAGTGGACACACAGTTGAACATGATGGACTATAGGACAGGACTGCTGCTTTTTACTGTCTGCTGGGCAGGTGATGATCATCAAAGTCTTAGTTTTCTCTTGTTGTGTGCCAACTATGTTCAATTGACTTTTATAAATGTCTTTACAGGTGTTGATGGTCAGACTCTGACAGAATCTGAAGCAGTGGTTAAAAGGCCTGGAGAATCCCACAGACTGACCTGTTCAGCCTCTGGATTCACATTCAGCAGCTACTATATGGCTTGGGTCAGACAGGCTCCTGGAAAAGGACTGGAGTGGATTGCTTTCATTTACACATCCAGTTCTTATATCTATTACTCCTCGTCAGTCCGGGGCAGATTCACCATCTCCAGAGATGACTCCAGCAGTAAACTCTATCTTCAGATGAACAGTCTGCAGACTGCAGACACTGCAGTGTATTACTGTGCCAGGAGAGACACAGTGAGAGACAAGAGCAGGAGAGTTGTACAAAAACTACTTCCTCTATTTACCACCATCACGGGGAACTTTCATATTTATCAGCATTGATACTGTTATCTACTGGAAGAGATGAAAATTCAGTTTCAACCTTCATAATTAAAACTTTTTTACTTGTTGCTAATGTTTGCAGACTTTTCAAAACACTGCTTCTGTTTTTATACAATGCAGCGGATTACATTCTTTGTATCTGTTTGGAGAAACTGTGTCTACATTTGGTTTGAACTCCAAACATACAGTAGAGATCAACACGTGGACGAAACATGTAAAGATTTAAAATATTCCACATGATATGAAGATAGTACACCAACATTATTAATGAGTAATTATATGTATTTCTATATAACCCTAACCCTAACAAAACATTTTCTTGTAATGTGGTTAACTAAGTGGGCTATAATGAACTTGACTTACTTGCCTGGTGGTAATGGTAAGGTTAGCTAACATCAACAGTCACTTTATATTTGTTTCAGCTTCAACTGACACTGACTATTGATTACATATTGAATTAGAAATGATGATTAGCTGAGCCTACTAGGCAATATGGCCATAGTATAAATAGTATAATATACAGTATTTGAAAATGTATAAAAGGTAACTTTAGTGAGACTGTCAGAATGGACCTGGAGCATGTTTTTTGTTTTTTACTGTTTTAACACATAAAGCTGCTGCCATACATCCTGAATTCATGTACTACAAGGACTTTATTCATGCTAGTTCTACTTCATACTTTTACTTTACTTCTTTGTATATGGAGAATATTCAGAAAGGATTGTCCATATGATAATGTTCACTGTTCAGCTGGAGCTGCTTTTGTTCTAATGTTGTTTTTTCCCTTTACAGAATCCTTGTGGCAGTTTCAGTCTGGAAGGAGAAATCAGAGGGAGGTGCAGGTCCAGGGAACAAGTTTCCCTCAGAGGACAGGTTGTTTATTCAGTTTTGAAACTATAACAGAATATTTTTTTCACTTCTCTGTTTAAAATGTATTTACCAAAACTCTTTTATTCACTTTTTATACATTGGAAATGGCCTTTGCTAAATGTCTAAATGTAAATATTTGTGCTAGATTTTTTGCCTATTTAACCTTCATGTTCTTAAAGTGTATTTTCTTTGTTTATGTCACAGTTTAAATAAAGAAAGATGTGGTTTGAGAAGACACTTTGAAGTTTTATTGTTTGTCTTAACATTTTACGTTGCAATTTCAAAGGCACTGTTTATTTATTATTTTAAAACATGGTGTTTTATAACCTGACATGCAAGGAATCATTTATCAAATCACTAGGTTTAGAAAATAAATATATTGTGTCCACTTTGGTAGAAGGAAATTAATCTATAGCGAGGTGTAGTATTTACAATTCACAGTAAAAATCAGCAAATAAACAGTATTAAACAGTTAATTCTTTCAACAGTATTTTCCTGTTAAGGTTTAAAATCACAACTTGTTGCTGTATTTACAAAAACGGTAGAAAACTGTAAATTTCAGCAACAGCAATATACCGTTAATTTTACTGTAACTTCCTGGCAACCCTACTGCCAGTTGTTTACCGTTTTTTAACAGGGGGAATTTCTAAGAGTGTGGATACGAGCAAATCTCAGTGACATAAATCACATATATTTGGCAGCTGTTCCGACTCCTGCATCATTGTATACGTATAAAAGATAACAATAAACTTTTCCTATTATCAAGTTAATCTCTGATTCCACTCTACTGGCATGATACAACTGATGACCTTTCAACTTAAAGTATCCAAGACAGAAGTCGAATGTTATTTCTCTCTGAGGAGGAGTCAATGTAAATATCTGATGTGTTCCTCCTCTACTTATGTGAGAGCAGAGAGGACGACAGAGAACAGTGGACACACAGTTGAACATGATGGACTATAGGACAGGACTGCTGCTTTTTACTGTCTGCTGGGCAGGTGATGATCATCACTCATCTTTACTCTAAAAAGTCTTCTGAAAGTGTCACATCTGATGGTTTTCTTTTCTGTCTCTTCAGGTGTTGATAGTCAGACTCTGACAGAATCTGAAGCAGTGGTTAAAAGTCCTGGAGAATCCCACAGACTGACCTGTTCAGCCTCTGGATTCACATTCAGCAGCTACTATATGGCTTGGTTTAGACAGGCTGCAGGAAAAGGACTGGAGTGGATCGCTACTATAAGATATGACAGTGCTAACATCTACTACTCTAATTCAGTCAAAAGCCGGTTCACCATCTCCAGAGACAACAGCAGACAGCAGGTGTATCTGCAGATGAACAGTCTGAAGACTGAAGATTCTGCTGTTTATTATTGTGCCAGAGACTCACAGTGACACAGGAGGAAGTATCGCTGTACAAAAACTTAACGTGTCAAACAGTACTCTCTCTGTGCTTTTTATTTATAGAATACACTTCAGTTTGATGTGAAAAAAATAATAGATCTCTGGTATTCTTCCACATGTTCTTCAAGTAGTATGATAACATCAAATATTTAGTGGTTCTGACTATAAACGTGAATCTTCTTGTTTGATGCAGCTTGTCCTTGTAACTTTTAACTCAGGGAATGTTTCTGTCTCTCCTTGATTGATAAAAATGGAGATTTTAACACCTATTAAAATTATGTATTCAAGAGACATTTTAAATACCTACGCTCTGAGGATTTTCATTTTCTGTGCAAAAGACTTCAAACAAAATGGTGATAATAGACCATGTTTACAGAACAATGATTTCATCCTTGTAATAATTACCAAAGACACCAGCCTGATAAAAAAGAAAGAAAAACTTGTGCAAACCCGAAGCACACTATAAATGATGAGGCACCACTCACAGAGAGTGTTATGCGTATAGGGAGGGGTGGGTCAGAGTAACTCTGCTGCAGAATGAGTATGTTTAGACGACCTGCAGAAAAGATCATGTTGAGGCTTTAAGCAGTGATGCAACCAAAAAAAGGGCGATAAAAGATCAAACATATAATGGCAGAGCATTGTGACAAAGTCTCTTGAAGCTCAATCACAAGAAGGAAACATTCAGCAGCAGTTGATTCGGTGGGTTCAGCCTAACTGTTGGTTTTAAATCATAGAGACAATAATAAAAAGCTTTGTGACCTGCAGGCTGTCACTTCATTGAATCTGATCTTGAACACTCTTGCTGCTCAATACAATTAAATCTGTAGTTGAAACTTTCCCTTCTTCAACATAAGTTGCTTGATTGAGTGATTCTTTGAAACTGAAGTGTGTCTTGGTGTTAATCATGAGCACCGACTGCAGCTCTGTTAATATTTCGATGAACAGTCTGTAAACACTGAAAACTTTTAATCTGTTTTTTTATACAAACCAGTGTTTAACATTTGAATAAACAGAATATTACCCAGTGGTATGTTGGATTTGCTGACAGTAAACAGTTAATATCAGAAAGACAGTAGGTTGGTTTAAATAATTGTATTAAATAGAATAAATAAAACTTCTGAAGATTAACATCCTTTCTGTTGCTCTTTTGGTTTTCATGGATGCAAACCATCATTATTGCAGTGCTCCATTTCCTCAGAATATTTCACAATATCCATCATTCATTTTAATACTAAGAATAATAACAGATCCTTTTTGTTTCTAAGTTACGTTTTCATTGTTTATTATGATGCTGTTGTCCTCAAGCTTCAATGTTTTACAGTAAAAATCAAATGAACTGATGTTTGGTTTCTTTAAATGATTACAGACCAACTTTGCACTTTAATTAAAATATAAATAAATCAGTGATATTTCTCAGGCATGTTTGTACATGTTTGTATGTATAGACCATCACTGATGTTTCAAATGTTTGATTGTAAGCAAACTCTGACAATCTTTTTCTGGGGGTATCAAGATGATGAGTGATTGGACCCCAAATGATTCCACGCACAGCTCGAAAAGGATAATTTTAGAATCAATGTGTTTATATTGGTGAGCAACATTCACTTTTGTTTGTATTGAGTATTAGATTTTGGTCCACACCAGAAGATTCCATGTTTGTTTTGTTTAATTTATTTTTACTTTTTAACATTGGAAGGTAAAAGTTAGACATTGTTTTCAGTTTGGGAAGTTGTTGATCCATCTAATTTAGAATTGATCTTTTTTCTTTTTCTTTCAAATATTCTTAATATAACTATGACAGAGTTCAGACAGCTCAGGAGTCACTCCCATGTTATCCGGATGCAAATGTTCAGTGTGTGCAGAGTACTTCAGTGCGGCTAAATGCTCTCGTACTTCTGTGGAGCATCAGAGGTCAGATCTGCAGCCTCAGGATGATGAACACACTCACTCTGCTGCTGGCTGCTCTCTCTCTGCCCTGTGAGTTGTCCTGCTTCTTCTCATTTAATCTTTTATCAGACAACTTCCACTGATGGTCGGTGAGTGATACCAGAGAACGCCACACATGTGAGCATCTCACTTTTTCTCTGCTTTCATCTGATCAGGTTGCACAAGTCAGAGTATGGAGTCCATGCCTTCCAGTTCAGTCATGAAAAGGCCCGGGGAGACACTCAGTCTGTCCTGCAGGGGATCAGGCTTCACTTTCAACTGCTGTGTTATGAGCTGGATGAGACAACCTGCAGGAAAAGAACGGAAACGGCTATTCCAACCCAAGCAGGAACACTTATGCCAGCAGTGCATGAGGCCGTGTAGAAATCAGCAGAGATGATAGCACAAGCATGGTGTATCTGAGACTGTCTAACTTGCAACCACAGGACTCTGCTGTGTATTACTGTGCCAGAGACACACTGGTTGAAGTGAGCAGAGAAGCTGTACAATAACCCCCCTTACAAATTGCCTTTCAAAGACCTACAGGGGGCAGCAGAAGACTGGGGTCGGATGGCACAAAGGAGGAGAATGGAACGCACTCTTAAAAGCAACATCTGTTTCAGTGGTTTGTGACTTCCTACATTCAACATAATGACATGCTTTTTAAAAAAGAAATATTGTAAATAATGTTGTCATCACGTGTTTGTATCTTCAACTGTTGATACAATGAAATAATGATAAATTCTTGGATTGCTATAGCCCGTTTTAAGGGATCCAAAGACGATTTATATGAGGACAGAACAAATACCACAGAAACAAAAGACAAAAAGAAGTGAATGAATAAGTTCTGCTCGACACACAGCGACACAGGAGGGAGCAAAAACAGCACTCTGTATTCCATAACTGTAGAATGAACTTCAGTTTGAAATAAAATCAATACAAGTTTTTGTGCAACTCTGATGTTCTTCTGAATGTAGTGAAAATACAATTACTGGAAACTTACTCTAAATGTGAAACTGCCTGTGCCACATAATGATGGAATATAACCATACACTCCACTCACAATAAGTATCAGGATAATTGGCCTCATTCACAAATAGCGCATACCAACAAATCTGTTCTTGAACTGTTTGTTTCAAATGAGTCTAATCGACGGGCGCATCCATATTGGATATGCTGTCTTAGTGGGGTCTCAACCTAACTTCGGATCAACCTAGCAACAGCATCAAGGCGGGACCCGGCGGGACTTAACTCCTCCCATTCAGCTCGACGTTCCATTTCACATCAAAGCCAACAGCTAGGCTGCTATCATCCCCTAGTGCTTCCTGCTCGTCCTGAGTTATCTCTATAAACAATAAGTTAACATTTAACTTTTCTACAACACAGTTAAAACGAATTATATTCAACCCAAATATTTAATTAAAATCTTAAAACTACACTTTCTTAAATATACAACTATGGTTATTAGTTATTTGTCAGAGCAGTTACTAGACTTTATCCAGGTTAGCAGAGCAATACATTAGCAGTTTTATCATAAAATGTAAGAAACATTTTGAGGCTTACCTTTACATTTAAATTCACACATTGTGTTACAAATCATTACTTGGGTGTAAGAACATGTTGAAGGATAAGAAGTCTGTTTAAAACGATAAAAGACAGAGCTTTGGTGTCTTTTTTCTCTTCGTTGTTGTTGATAAAACTACTGTTAGACCATAGACTCTAAATAAATATGTAAGACATCCAGAAGAAATCAATATTACAAAGCATACAGTTCATGTTACTGTTCTGACAAAAAGAGGAATGTCTGTGTCTTATATTTACTATTTCAACAGCAATGACGGTGAACATGACAATTGAAAAATCATTATTTAGTATTTATTATAAGACATTTGTTTTCTATAGAACCCTGTGAAGTCATGGAGTCTGTGGACAGTGTCAGCTTCACACCAAAAACTTTAAGTATTAGAAAAAATAGTGTCTAAGACTGGCATCTATTATTATGAGTTGCAGCTACCTTGTTCAATATTATTCCTGCAGATGTGGCTAATAACAAAAAAACACCCTGAGCTGTCACATGTACTTAACTGTCCATTTTGTCTTGTCTGAGGCATTAATTGAACACCTTTGTATTTCTCCTATAGACACAGTGTGGATTATTGGTGACTTGTCCGTCGAGGTGCCCAGAGAGCTGCAGAGACAGAGGAAGAAACCTGAGCTCAACAACATCTGTATTTGTTGGTTCTTCTGGGGTGGACTTCAGTTGCTTCTCTTCAACAGCTCGCTGCGAGGGAGGTCTCCCCCGGATGGCCTGAGTGATGTCACCCACATGTTCCTGCATCGATGGCGGTCTCCATGCTTGAAATGCTGTCTCACCCTTACCTTCATTCAACCTAGCGACAGGCTGAGAGCTGGAGCTGAGGCGGGTTTTAAGACTCCTGACAAACCGTTACCTGTCGATCATGTCAGCTACATGCCTTATTGTGAATAACTCTTATCCTTCATCAAATCAAAACTGATGAGTCATCAAAACATTCACCCCTGTACAGTATGTGTCGATAGAGACATGAGATAATCACACCTATTTTTTTTTTTTGTACCAGGTACATCTCTGCTGTAAAAACAGACTTGTTTAGAATGTAGTTTTTCAGATTAAATAAATATTTCTATATAAATGCACTCCTTTGTCTCTGCTTATGAGTATACATTTCAGATTTGAAATGACAAGACTAAATTGTGCATTATTGCTCAACTCAATAGCTAAGGGAAGGAATCTACTTTTACACAACTTTGTCTTCTCTTGACATTTTTTTTTTTACCAATTACTAATGTAGTTCATTTCTGAAAATGGGATGGAACAGAGTTATTACAAAAAATCTGCCCTTAAACACAGCCCCATTCTTAAATCAAGATACATGGAGAGTAAATAAGATCAATAACTTGTGAATAAAAACACAGTTAAAAATGATTTAGAAATTTAGTCTTCCCAGATCAATATCACATAATATCAACTTCTCCCATCTAAACTGGACAAAGGGTTTTAAAATGGGAAGAAAATGGTTTGATTGCAAGTTGTTTGGAGGAGATCTATTTCTATTTGAACAGCATGAATACAGT